TCATTCAGCTAAAACCTGTGAAACACACTGGAGGGCTTTTTTTAATCTTGTTTGTGCCTTTTCCTTGCAGAAGGAGCTCTGCTACTTTTTGGGCTCGTCTTGCTTTCCGTAGCCCTGCTTAAAATTCTTTCCAGCTCTGTAAGAACTGGGATTAGCTGCTTTTCTTCTTTTACCAGCATTATGGAATGAGAGTTGGAGCTTGGCGTCGTGCCATTAGGTGAGGAGAGATTCAGAGCTCTGCAATAACATCAGTTTTGGAGCCCTCTAATATAGGCTGACTGATTTTGGATATGATGCATGGGAGGACGTTTTGCATGGTTTAGCAGCATACGATGCACTTGAGCGCTGTCTTTGACTCCTAAGCAGTGCTGCTCTCAGCGTGACTCCATAGCCCTGTATTTTTATAGAGGGTCAACTCTGCTAAAGTTGCCATTTCTGATTAACAAGGAGGCAGGTACTTTGTACCGCTGTAACATTTGTTTTCCTCTCATTCAGCACCGCAGCGGAAATCGGTGGGCTAGTCTGCTAGTCTTTCATGAATTGATGGTACAAGGGCTTTTTATAACCCGTGTGAATGCAGGTGATGTTTGTTTCTGACTTTCAAGGAGAATCTGTTGGGAGTGATCCAGAAAACATGTGCGTCTTGAAAGGGAACTCTGGCCCCTTGAAGCACTCGGGGAGGTTATCTTTGTAGGAGGGGTACAACCAAAATGAAGGCAGCAGGTTCGATTTAGGTGGGAAGTTAAACAGGTTTCAGAAACGGAAGTTCCAGGATTTGGTTCCATCATTTGTCAGACCGCACCGGATATCACAAGAGGGTAGATCAGCCGTTGTCTTGAGCTGAACCCTTGGAGGACAGGTATTAACTATGTTCCAGTTCCTCAGACCTGCAATATTAGCTTACTTTTATGTTCAGCGTCTTCCATCCTCACCAGCCTCCAGCTATGTATGGAAATACTAGGATCTGTTCACCAACCATGAAGATGCAACCAGCTCTGGGGAAGATTGCTGCAAGGACACAGCATCTCTTAGTAACACTACCCACAGTTTGATGCAGAACAGTTAGACAACACTGAATCAATGTTGCATTGTATGGGGAATCTAAGGAAGCAGAACTTAACTGCCTAATTGCGATATATCCAGGACATCAAGGATAACACCCTTTCTTCTCTTTCAAGTGGTGCCTAGGATGCTTTAATGGCTTGAAGTGGCCAGAATTTGGGGACTGACTCACCCAAAAGATGTCAATTCCTGTAAGGCAGAGCCCCCAAGCACCATGCGGAGTGACTGAATCAGTAGTGAGTCAGAAGGGAAGTCTGCCATCACTTCCTGCAGCTCCGCTCTGTTTTTCCTTGAAATTTTCTCAGCCAAGTGCGAAGCAAGCCAGAGCGTATTTGTCACGTAATGTCTTTGGCAATCACCGTGCAGGGTTATCCGGCTTTGGTGAATTAAAGCAAGCATTTTAAGCATGACTTTTGCTGAGTGTGCTGCTGCTTTCTGCAATATTTTGGGTAATGGAACTCATTTTACTTTCCCAAACTTAATTGGGTACATTGGGCAAAGTATTGAAAGGCTCCCCTGACATTTGAGCTAACTTCCAGGATAATATTTTATTCCGAGTCCGTTTGACCATGGTAGGAACTTCCTTTCTGTTTTCATCCCCTGTGCTCACAAGACATCTTTATGTAATGGCTTTCCTCTGTAACCCGTGATGCCACAGCTGTTTGTTTGAGACATCGTGTCTCAGTGCCACGGACTCGAGCGAGGATGGGGATGGTGGAGGACAGGGATAAGGAACATTCTGTTTACAGGCACATTTTCTTGGCAGTCGGCAGCTAGGAGCGAGGAAATGCAGAGCGTCTGTTACTAGTTAAGTGGAGATTTAGCAAACGAGGCTGGCTGTCTCCAAGTTAGCAGGGAAGTGGCAGGGGCTCATTAAAAGAGGGCTCAGAGCATTCCCTGCATCAGGCTCTTCTGAAGCGCGGTGCTGGTCCTGTTGCAGTCCCAGCCCTGCGTAGAGAAAAGCCGCAAGTGCTGGCTGTACCGGTTTCATTACAATGAATACCAAGCAGATCTCCAGTGAGGGGCCATGCTCCAGAATGGGTGATTCTCCCCCTAATCGAATGCAATCTGTTTTTATTCATTCGCTTGCCTTTGAGGTGGTGAAGGCACCGCTGAGACATCTGAAGTCCAAGCGTATTGATGTCTCACCTGTGGTGCATCGCTGGAAGTTCCCAAAGGAGAGCACGAAATAATAGCTGTGTAACGCACGCAGTTTGGGGAGAAGCCTCTCTGCGGCTGACCCCGAAAAGTGCGCTTTGCTTCCTGTTTTTTCAGAAACGGAAGCAAGTGCTTGACACAGTGACATTTTCTCCAGCTTCGCTCTCCTGACTGTCTGGGTGTGTGGGGGAGGCTTGCAGCTGGGAAGCAGCAAGTCATAATCAAAAGCTTGCTGCTTATGAGGCATCTGCCACAACGCCGTGCAAGAAAAGAGGCTGACGGATCCGTTTGCCTTGTGGCACGTGCGCTCTGCTGCCGGGCAAGAGTCTGCGGTTCAGTTCTTGGGCTCCTGGTGTGTAGCCTGGAGGGGACTGAGGCATGCTGACTAGGCAGCGCAGCCAGCCCCGTGGGGAAAGGAGCGCTTCTCACGCCGCCGTCTGCTGCCATCCTGTCTGATTTCTCTAACTCAGCAGGGCTAGGTCAGGTCGCTCTTTGGATGGGAGCCCTCCAAAGAGAGCTGTACAAAATAGTGTCGGTCAGTCACTAAACGTCCCTCTTCTTTCTGAGTAAGTAATGCCTGAGTGCCCAGCAGCCCCTGCACGTTGGAAAAGTCTGTTATGTTTTCTTTTCCAGGAGACAAATAGGCAGCCTTGGGCACTGCAGTTATAAAATCTAACGGCACTCTTTGTATGACGGGGGACACTAAATCCCGTCTCCAGTCTGATTCGGGTAAAAACATAGTGCCACCCTCCATTCCCCCCGCAGTTTCCAGCGGGGATACTATTTCTTCCCTGCTTTGTAGCGTGGCTGTGCACTGACCACACATTATTCCAGCAGTGTGTGTAGGAGATCCCTTGGCAGAGCTGCTGTATGATTTCAAGGCTTCTTTATGATGGATGGTATAAATGATCAGCCATGGAGCCTTTCCGTGAGAGCTGCCCTGTCTGATCATGGCTGCAGCAGGCGTCTCTGAAAGTGGAGTGTAAAACAGGGAGAGGATGCGGGGAGGTGGGAAGTCCCTAAGGCTCCAGCAGTGAGCATGGGGTCCCTCCACAACAAGGAGCCCAGCTCTCTGGGGTTCTTGCTCCTTGCTGGACCGTGGGGAATTGGTGGAAATACTTCCCTGTTTATTGGATGCACAAGTGGCACAACCGTGGAGAGGTCTGGAAAGGGTTCCTTCCCATCTCCCAAGGGAACCCCCCAACCCACAGCGCTGCTGCCCAGGGTGTTGCTGGAGCTGGGGTTTCAGCGTTAGGCTGTTGAGCCCCTCGGGGGTCTGGCTGCCTGTGGTTTGAGGCTGTTGGTAGACTTTCTCTGTAAGTGTAAGGGCCTTTCTCTTAAATCTGAGTTCATGTTCTGCTGGGACTGATGGCAAGTGCATCCCCCCCTCCCCTCCACGGGGGAGTCTCCTTAAAGCCACTGTTCCCTAATTACAATCGGAGATCACTCAGCTCATCTTCAGAAATGCTGGAGAAAAGGGGCTACTGCTGGAGAATTGTGCTGGTCATTTTTCCCCACTGACAATTACCTGGCCGGGGAGTAGTCTAGCTAGAGCAAACTGCAGATCTAACAGGACTTTGTATCTCCCCGTACCGGCTTTCTGAAACTCCGGTCCCTTTAATTGCTAGAGAAATTGAATTGGTGTTTTAAATTTTTAAAAATTGTATAACTAAGGTGTTTGATCTTGACACATTGCTCGTACTCTCTCCCCCTCCTGCTGTGCCAGATCTCTTCAGGGAAACCCAGCCAACACAGATCATTATTCTGCTAGCATATACTTACTCGGCTCTAGTGTCTTGCTCCTTCTCCCAAGGGACTGTGCTGGATGACTGTGAACCCTTTTTTCTCCCTTCTCTGTGTTGGGAAACTTGTCACTGTGACAGTTACAATACCACAGGCTTGACACCGTGACGATGGAAAACACTGCATAATCATGAGTGCGACAAATATTGAGAGCCCTGTTTGATTCTCGCTATGCCATGGAAAAGTTTTCCACCCAAACATCATTTTATAAGCAAAAACTCTAATATAGAAACCCTCTCCCTTATTCTTTGCACTGAGTCCTGTCATTAAATATTTAATTAGCATGATTTATTTTTCTTCTGTTCTCTGCAGGTTTTGCATGCAGAAGAGTGTCAGACTGGTGCCAGGAGTCACACTGGATTTAATAGAAAAGTAAGCAGGATTTTATGACATTAAAACCACTCTGATTTTCCTGATTTCCATTTTCTGTGTTGGTTTTGTGGGGAGGAGGAATTAGTTTAGCTGGCTGTCCTCGGAGGCCCTCTGTTTGCTTGCAGGCATGCACTTTGAGGCACTTCTGCAGCACAAGCCTCACTGGGGAGATGCTGAGTCCCCCTCACTTTCTGTGCTCCCCTTTTCCACATGGTTAGCCAGCATCCTGCATTCGGCCCTTGCTGGGCTCAGCTGACCCCCGTTGCCTTTCCTGTTTGGTGCAGGGGGCTGGACTCGATGATCTTCCAAGGTCCCTTCCAGCCTTGCAGACTATGCATCTGTGAATCCCCGTGCTGTTGTGGTCTGCCGTATTGCTTTACCACATGCTGGTGCAACGAGCAGTAATTTCCATAGCAAGAAACGTGGCCAGTGACTGGTTAGCAGGCAGCACTGTGGACAGTATGTGGAGTATTACACTTTCCCAAGTGCTTTGCTCGGCCCTTTCAGCTGGAAGTTCACTTTGGTCTCATTTTTGACACCGTCGTCCTGTGGTAGCCTGAGAACAGTGGTGATCCCAAATCTGGATCACAGTCACTTTTATGGCGGTTCAGTGTTGTCAAGGCCCACAGCTGTTCTGGGTGCACATTGCTAACATAAGAGAATTTATTAGAGGTGATTGACAGGGATGTTACATAAATGCTCATTGCCTTTCAGTAAGCATCAGCTTACGACTGACATAGCAAAGAGTGTCTGAAGTCAGGTGCACCTGTTAGGAAGGTGCATTGCTGGAAAACATGGGAGCTCAGAACTGGAGTCCCTGGGGCAGCAGTGGTCTGCTGCTTAGATGCTTTGGCAAAGGCGCGTGCAGGTCTGGCATAACAGAGAATACTGCAGGCCGGGAGAGCCGCATTGGCAGAGCTGTTGTAGGGGCCCAGCGCCGGAGCTCTGCAGGGGAGGTGTTCACAGCACTTGTCTAAGCGACAAGTGTTCCTAGCCACAGCTATCCTTCTCTTTTATGAGCTGTAGGATCTATTCAACACCCCAAGCTCTGACAAAACAAAGAAAGTAGAAAAAACAAAGCACGATTTTTTTCCCACTTCATCAGCACAGTGTTCTAATGTTCCTTCTGCCTGACAGTGCGGTTATATTTTGGTCCATAATGGCACTGATACCCATTATAATGTTTTCATCCAAGCAATATTTGACCATAACTGCAGGTTATTAGACAGCCCAAGACAAACTGATTAACAAAGTGAATTGTTCTTCAAAATCTCCAGTTAATATAAACCACCCAGGCCATAGAAAAGCTAAAATCCAAACTCATCCACTGCATTCTTTGTTTTCAGTAGGTTCTTATAGGACATTTATTTTGCCCACCTGGAAGGTACTAGATATTTGCATTCTTCGCGTGCGTACTTTCTGAAATCTGTGCCACATGGTTAGTATTTATACTAACTACTAACCCGCACTTTAAGAGGGATGTGGACAGCATCGAGAGGGTCCAGAGGAGGGCCACTCGCATGAACAAGGGACAGCAGGGCAGGTCCTACGAGGAAAGGTTACGGGACCTGAACCTGTTCAGCCTCTAGAAGAGAAGGCTGAGGGGGGATCTTGTGGCCTGCTATAAACTAGTCAGGGGGGATCAACAGGCGCTGGGGGAGTCCCTGTTCCCCCGGGCGCTGCCAGGAGCGACCAGGAATAACGGTCACAAGCTGGCAGAGGGAAGGTTTAAGTTGGACATCAGGAGGCGCTACTTCATGGTCAGGGTGGCTAGGGTCTGGAACCAGCTTCCAAGTGAGGTGGTGCAGGCTCCCACCCTGGGGGTTTTTAAGAGGAGGTTAGATGACCATCTTGCCAGGGTTGTTTGACCCCAGTACTCTTTCCTGCCATGGCAGGGGGTCGGACTAGATGATCTGCCCAGGTCCCTTCCGACCCTAGAAACTATGAAACTATTTCTGAACCTCCTCTTCTTAGGAGATTGTTGTGTACCCAAGTTAAATTACCTTGGAGCAATTAATAAAAGACCATTCAATTTCTGAAATGTTTGCCTTTAGAAGCACTCATTGTCAAGATTAATTAGAACAGGCCAGAGACTTATAAGTCTGGCATGTGCGTGTCCAGAGCCAATTATCCCCTTCACCTAATGAGGCAAAACCTGAAGAACTAGAGGGCATTCTCTCTGGACTGGCAGGGGTGGTATCGGGGTGTTCAAATAGTGCAGGTACAATAGCAGTATTTTCTGGTGTCCTTTCATGCTTTTCTTGAAGGCTTCTGCAGGGCACAGTGGTACACAGGTATCCTTCATGGCTCTGACTGCCAGAAGCAAATGATCTTTTACAGTAATGGTGATGAGGGTAGGATTGCATCAGCTAAAATTCCTGGTTCAGGTCTTGCCTCGGTAGAGCGCCTCCGTGTTAAATAACCCACCCAACTCGCCCTCTGATACGTTTTAAGCTGCACTTCCATGGCACTGCCTCTTCTGTTCATTGTACTTGAAGAAGCAGGTGGGTACGAGGCACACAAGCACCTTTTCAAGTGCTCAGCGTAAAGTCATGCTCACCCTACAAATTAGATCACTATGAAAATATGATTTTTCACATTTCCCCCCACCCCCCATCTCCAATTTCGATCAAAGGAGCCGAGCTGTAGTTTTATAAATCTTAGTTTTGAAAGCCAAAGTATAACTTACTATTAAAATCTGCTGGTTTCTGACTGTGCCGTGAGAGAAGGCCAAGGTAGCTAGATGGTGACTACCCTGGCTGGTGCTGGGCAGTGCACAGGCACAGATTGCAATGTGTCTCCTAAGATTGCTTCCTACGTGCCTAGTGCAGTGTCTAATTATATTAGGCATTCACTCACATGTTTGTAAGTGAGGATCCAGTCTCAACTGTTCACTAAAACTGATGGAACAAGGTACTCGGGTAGTGACAGATCACACAGAGAAACAGAGATATCTTTTCAGCTCACCATATGTGAGGATGCAGAACCAGGTCAGAGATCTGTTAGTTAAAGTAAATGTAAAAAAGTAAGAAAATGAATTCAGCACTTCTCTCCTCTTCAGAACTGTGTTACTTTGCAGTTTGGCACAGCTCGCTAGTTAGGGAACAGAGCTTTGTGGTTGGTTTTTTTAAATTACATCATTGTTGAACACAGCTGGGTTTTTTTCTTGTTTGCAGTACGCTTCATAGATTTTTATTGCAGTGTACTAAATTACACACTACACACATGGCAAACATGGTTATTTTGATTGCTCCAGCGTTTTCCATAAGGCATGAACTTCAAATGATAGCATTAGAAATCCAGGCCATTTAATAACTAGTGGCCTGGACAGAGTGAAAGTCGAAGGCAACAGCCTTGTAATGTATGAATAGTTGGAGGCGGCTCATGGATAGCTGTCTGGCTTTCTGATTACTGAAGGGTAAAGAGAACCTGCCTACCTCAGCAGAGCTACCAAAAGTTGCTGTTCAAATTATTTTCAGTAATGATGTGTCAGGCAGGCGGCAGCTAGACTTCCCCACTGGATGCTGTGTCCCGTGGCACTGCATGCCACTTGCCCTTGGTGAAAATGTGTGCATTTTGAGAAGAAAGCAGATCTGCATGGAGGTTAAACATGTTTCATCTAGACACACATGGTGCCTGCTAATACTGTTTTAGGGCTTGAGGGGAAAGCTGGGCTGTGAAGTTGAAAGTTGCTTAATAATAGAAAAGCATGTGGTGCCATGAGGTTTGTCCACTGATGCTGGGGGGGAAGGGGAAAGGATTTTGTCATCCTGAGCAGCCCTGGCTTTGCATTGCTGAACTGTGAAGCTGAGCCAAGAGGTTCTGTCTTAACAGTGATCTAATCCTCAGTACAAGTGGAGATTTCCTCAAAGCACTACGTAAGTGTATTTAAAGCATGACATACAACGTAAGTTCACTGTTAGGAATATTCCCTGGAAAAGGGTGTCTGCCTCTTCTGCATCAAGCACTAGCTTCCTACTCATTAAAGAAGTTAGAACAGAGAAATAACAAGCCCTGAAGGACCAATATCTGGTGTGAGACCTAAAAGCCTCCCATCCTACTGGAGTGAGTACACTTTAGACCTGTGATTCCCATCTTGTTGGACCTAAGACACCCCTCAGGCAATGCCAGCTCTTTCACTGTCACTTGTTTCTTGACTAGGAAATATAAAAGAAGAATTCTTCTGTTGCAAAGCACTCAGAAACACCATGGGAGGTCAGAGTGTGTTTAACACTGTGGATTACTGTTTGAAATCTCTGGGTTTATCTACCGAGTCCGTAGGGCTGTGCGAAATTTTGCCGGCTGTTTCGTTTTGACATTGTTTCGACTCATTTCGAGCTCAAAACAGCGAAATCGAAACGCAGGGTTTCAAAACGAGGCTGGTCAAAACATTTCGAAACTTTTGAAACCTTCTGAGTTTCGAAGGAGCCAGCAGCCAGGTGGTGGGAGACCGTGGAGAACCAGGGCTGTGCTCCCAGGCTCAGCCAGGCGGGGAATGCAGCCCTGGCTCTCCCCACTTCCCATGGCCAGGCTGCAGGAAGCCGATCCCAGCGCAGGGGAAGGCAATTGAGCCTGATTGCTCAGTTCTCTTCCCCAGCGTTGGGTAGGGGAACTGAGCGATCGGGCTCAGTCCCCTTCCCTAGCTCCTCGGTCCCAGGCGGCAGCACCCAGCTTCCCTTCCTCATCTGGCAGGCACATTAGGGGCCCGCAACCCCGGGAGGACTGGCACAGCCCCCGCAGCCCTCCCGGGATTGGGCCCCAACCTTCCTGCCAGATGAGAGAGGCAGTTTTGAGCTTCCCCTTTATAGCCTATGGGTGAAACGTTGAAACAGTTTGACTGTTTCGACAAAACAGAACAGCAGTTTCAAATTGAAACAGAATTTGAAACGAAACGCTGTTCTGTCGAAGCCTCAAAACGCAAGTCAAAACAGAACGGTGCCGTTTCGCACAGCCCTACTGTGTCAGTGTTTGCACACCCAGCAGTGCTTATATTGTGCAGC